CATTCACCGTGGAAGATGGCAAATCCGCCGTTACTCTTTCAGTCACCAAACACTTCACGTTGCCATTGAAACCAGAATACCTTGAACGAATCTACACCACGCAACTGCTTGACGCATGGCTCTTCGTGTTCACTTCTGCAACGACGACGTTGGAAGGAAACCGCTTCAAACCCAGGAACTCTATCATTGGCTTGCAAATCAATTTAACTTGTGACACACTGTCCAATAAAACGCGACACGGGTGGCTTTTTTGATTTTCATCGATGACATCCACCACTGCTGTAAGAAGTAGCACTGGCAACTCGCGGATGTTGCTTCTTCTGGTGGCTTCGGCGGTGGTTCTTCTGTCTTATGCGGTTGGGTCGATGGCTTGGAGGCTTATTACGGATGTCACTTCACGGTGAAAACTTGTCACTTGTCGTCACGTCACGGTGAAGTGATTTCCATTTGATTTTCACGGCAATCACGGCTCTTATTTAAGCCTATTCTGCGCGGCGTGTGAGGTCCAACCGCAGAAGACAGAAGAACCACCGCCGAAGCCACCAGAAGAAGCAACATCCGCCAGTTGCCAGTGCTACTTCTTACAGCAGTGGTGGATGTCATCGATGAAAATCAAAAAAGCCACCCGTGTCGCGTTTTCGAACATCCTCCCCCAGGCGTTGACTCAAGATGATCTTCCTTTTTGTTATTTGCTCCTTGAACAGGTTGGACAACTCATGCAATTCCCTCTTGGCGCCCACAAAATTGGTTCCGTTGCAGAAAACAACTCCTCTGGAACACCCCTTTGGGATACGAATCTGTGCAGTGCAGCAATGAACGCATCCAGCTCATTGCTTCTCTTCTCCTTCGGTGCTTTCAATTTGTTGCCAAATTGATCATGGTAGGCCGGTCACATAAAAAGCTCAAATCAAAATTTTTCTTCGAGCTGTCATGACACAGTCCGAACATCCTCCCCCAGGCGTTGACTCAAGATGAAGAATTATCCAAGACTGGGAGCGGTGCAAGTTTGTGTATAGGACGCTTCACACCTGGTCCGGATATCAGCAACTCGAATAAATCCATCCGTTCCAGAATAAACCTTATGGATTACTCCCAGCTTCCAAACGTGAGATGGTAAGTTATCCTCCTTTACGATTACCACCATCCCAGGGCGAATGTTGGAGAATTTCTTGGTCCACTTACTTCTTACCTGTAGTTCCATTAGATACTCACGATACCAACGTTTCCAGAAATTGTTTCGAAGTACCTGCACGTACTGCCATCGCGACAGCCTGTTGATTGGGATCTCCTCGTACGTTGGCTCCGGTATTGCCGTTAAAGGACGACCGATCTTAAAGTGACCAGGAGTCAGTGGTTCGGGGTCTGTAGCATCTTCCGAATGTGCATACAGAGACCGTGAATTCAGCAAGGCCTTGATTTGACAAAGCAGCGTCGAAAACTCCATCAAGTTGAGTGAAGCAGTGTCATAAATCCTTTTCAAAATTGAGTTGGTGCTCTATCATATCCCTTTACCGGAGCAGCCTTTCTACTGGTTTGCTTGATTAAAAAAGGGCCGGTTCCAACCCCACCTGTTGGAATGCTGGAGCGCACAGACGGAAGGTCTCCCATGAATTTTTCTGCAGCAGTGGGATTAACCTTGAAGCATTTAACGTAATCACGCGTAATTTTAAGTACCGTAGATCGTCCATTAATAATCTTATATTGTCTTCGCAGGGTTGCTAGCAAAGCAGTTGGTCCGATGTGCAGATTCTCGCGGTGGATGCACCGCATATAACTTTGAACCACGGGGCTTCTATTTGGCAAGATCCACTGATGCTTGCTCAGGTACGGTAATTGCGAATGGCGCAGACGACCACCAGCTCGCAATAGCTCACCATCAAAAAAGGGGTTCAAGGATTTAAGCTTCTTGGAGGACTCACCTGATTTCATTCTCACGATCTCTTCTGCAAACTCTTGACGCTGTACCACAAATACTATTACCTTCATTGCATCTTGCATCTCAGGTATAATTGGAAATGTCGATAGCACACGCTTCTCCTTAATTCTTTCTTTCTTGTAAACACAGGTAACAGTTCAAGTTCCACTGTGGTATTGACGAAAACCGTGGTCTTGAGTTCGGGAATATCTTCATCTGGCAACGGTTCAGGAACATCCATTTGGCATTCTTCACTTCTCAAAAACATTGGTCCGTTCCACCACAGATCACTTGTGGCCAAAATTTCGGCAGAAAGCCCACGGGACACTATATCAGCAGGATTTTCTGCAGTGTTCACATACTTCCACGAAAAATAATTTCCGCTAGAAGTAATCTCACCAACTCTATTTCTTACAAACACTTCCAGCTGTTCGAGATTTTTCTTCAGCCAGGCTAACACGATTTGGCTTTCTAAACTCAACACTATTTTCCGGAAGGGTAGTTTCAAAGTTTCCAACACTTTCTTCACTAGACGATGCAACAACACAGCTGCCAAGAGTTCTTTTCGTGGAACCGTCAGTACTAGCTTCGGCACTATCTTCAACTTTGCAGTCAAAATCTTCACCTCATGGGACTTTCCAAGAACAAATGATCTTATGTAAACGCATGCTCCGTAAGCTTCCAAGGACGCATCTCCGAACCCATTGATCTCAAAGGCAGTAGCATCAGATGACACCACTCGACGAGGGATTCGGATCTTCTTCACACCACTTAAGCACTTCAAGAAGTATTCCCAATTTTTAACCAATTCACTGTTTAATTCTTCGTCCTAATCGATCTTCTCACTCCAAACGTTCTTCAACAGCATCTTCCCAACGACAATCACCGGTGCAGCTAACCCCAGAGGGTCGAACATACTTGCAACTAACGACAGTACTTGGCGCTTCGTCGGCTTTGTTATCTCAGGAAATGGCTTTGCAACGAAGATCAGTTCATCCGAGGACAGGTTCCACAGCAGACCAAGCGTTTTGATCACTTCGTTCACTCCAGTTCCTTCAATGTTCACCAATTCTTCACGATCAACTTCCGGTATATGCTCGACTAGATCTGGACAGTTTGAAGCCCACTTGTGCAAATGAAATCCACCTGCCTCCAAGAGATGGATGAGCTGCGACTGTGCTTCTGCAACATTATCTACAATTTTGGCTGCCAATGGAAAATTGTGCCCTTCATCGAGTGCTACCTATAGTAATACTCTTGTTGCTAGGAAAGGTGCTGAAGCAGTGCCATAGCTTACGGTTTTTAACTCCAGCACACGAAGTGGACGCGACGGATCCAATCTGAAGAATACTCGATGAAGACATCTGTGTACCTTATCAACACTTGACGATACATCTTTGGTACATCCGTAGTCAGGAAATAACATGGAATTCGGAATCGAAGAGTTATCTCATTCAAAGAACACTGATTAAGCGATCCTATCTTCATGACATCATTCAACCTTTGCCGATGCATCACTTGGTAGTAGTATTCGACGGACGCAGTAGGTGGTGTAGGTAGGTACCACGCACCATACTTAACTTCTTCACTCTCGTTAATTTCTTCACAGTGACCAAGCTGCTCGTACTCAGTCATGAACTCGATGTATTGTTGCTTCTAATTCGGATCTTGTGCAAACCGTCTCTCCACGATGTGAAACCTCTTGAAAGCCAGTGAACGGGAACTTCTTAACTTACTGACATTCTCATTGAGAGGCAATTGGACGACGTACCTCCCAGTTTCGTTACGACGGTGTGTTTCTTGAAAATGTTGCTCACACTCTATAGCTTCCGAGGATGGTTCCACACTTGCAACTTCTTCAATTTCCCAGAACCTCTTGACAGTTCGATCCAACTCCTCAAGCGTAAGTGAATGTGAATGGACCACTGCATCGGACATTGTGTCATTACAAACCCCACCAACCACCCAGCCCAGTTGGGTTTCTCGCAGACTTGGGAGATGATCAGCCAAATGCATTTCTCCTGGCAGTAGCAATTTTAAAAACAGCTGATTTCTGAGCAACATATCTACCTTTCCAGTCTCGTAGAACATTGGATCATCCCATGAACATACATTCACCGTGGAAGATGGCAAATCCGCCGTTACTCTTTCAGTCACCAAACACTTCACGTTGCCATTGAAACCAGAATACCTTGAACGAATCTACACCACGCAACTGCTTGACGCATGGCTCTTCGTGTTCACTTCTGCAACGACGACGTTGGAAGGAAACCGCTTCAAACCCAGGAACTCTATCATTGGCTTGCAAATCAATTTAACTTGTGACACACTGTCCAATAAAACGCGACACGGGTGGCTTTTTTGATTTTCATCGATGACATCCACCACTGCTGTAAGAAGTAGCACTGGCAACTCGCGGATGTTGCTTCTTCTGGTGGCTTCGGCGGTGGTTCTTCTGTCTTATGCGGTTGGGTCGATGGCTTGGAGGCTTATTACGGATGTCACTTCACGGTGAAAACTTGTCACTTGTCGTCACGTCACGGTGAAGTGATTTCCATTTGATTTTCACGGCAATCACGGCTCTTATTTATTTAAGCCTATTCTGCGCGGCGTGTGAGGTCCAACCGCAGAAGACAGAAGAACCACCGCCGAAGCCACCAGAAGAAGCAACATCCGCCAGTTGCCAGTGCTACTTCTTACAGCAGTGGTGGATGTCATCGATGAAAATCAAAAAAGCCACCCGTGTCGCGTTTTCGAACATCCTCCCCCAGGCGTTGACTCAAGATGATCTTCCTTTTTGTTATTTGCTCCTTGAACAGGTTGGACAACTCATGCAATTCCCTCTTGGCGCCCACAAAATTGGTTCCGTTGCAGAAAACAACTCCTCTGGAACACCCCTTTGGGATACGAATCTGTGCAGTGCAGCAATGAACGCATCCAGCTCATTGCTTCTCGTCTCCTTCGGTGCTTTCAATTTGTTGCCAAATTGATCATGGTAGGCCGGTCCAGCTCATTGCTTCTCGTCTCCTTCGGTGCTTTCAATTTGTTGCCAAATTGATCATGGTAGGCCGGTCACATAAAAAGCTCAAATCAAAATTTTTCTTCGAGCTGTCATGACACAGCCCGAACATCCTCCCCCAGGCGTTGACTCAAGATGAAGAATTATCCAAGACTGGGAGCGGTGCAAGTTTGTGTATAGGACGCTTCACACCTGGTCCGGATATCAGCAACTCGAATAAATCCATCCGTTCCAGAATAAACCTTATGGATTACTCCCAGCTTCCAAACGTGAGATGGTAAGTTATCCTCCTTTACGATTACCACCATCCCAGGGCGAATGTTGGAGAATTTCTTGGTCCACTTACTTCTTACCTGTAGTTCCATTAGATACTCACGATACCAACGTTTCCAGAAATTGTTTCGAAGTACCTGCACGTACTGCCATCGCGACAGCCTGTTGATTGGGATCTCCTCGTACGTTGGCTCCGGTATTGCCGTTAAAGGACGACCGATCATAAAGTGACCAGGAGTCAGTGGTTCGGGGTCTGTAGCATCTTCTGAATGTGCATACAGAGACCGTGAATTCAGCAAGGCCTGATTTGACAAAGCAGCGTCGAAAACTCCATCAAGTTGAGTGAAGCAGTGTCATAAATCCTTTTCAAAATTGAGTTGGTGCTCTTGACTCCTGCCTCCCAAAGGCCACCCATATGTGGCGAACTTGGTGGTATCATTCTCCAGCGCATTTCACGTGGTTGGTAAAATACATTTATCTTCCTTTTTGTTATTTGCTCCTTGAACAGGTTGGACAACACATGCAATTCCCTCTTGGCGCCCACAAAATTGGTTCCGTTGCAGAAAACAACTCCTCTGGAACACCCCTTTGGGATACGAATCTGTGCAGTGCAGCAATGAACGCATCCCAGGTCAGATTCTCCACCACCTCCAAATGAATCCCCTTGGTCACCATGCACACGAATACGCAAACATATCCCTTTACCGGAGCAGCCTTTCTACTGGTTTGCTTGATTAAAAAAGGGCCGGCAAAGTCCAACCCCACCTGTTGGAATGCTGGAGCGCACAGACGGAAGGTCTCCCATGAATTTTTCTGCAGCAGTGGGATTAACCTTGAAGCATTTAACGTAATCACGCGTAAGTTTAAGTACCGTAGATCGTCCATTAATAATCTAATATTGTCTTCGCAGGGTTGCTAGCAAAGCAGTTGGTCCGATGTGCAGATTCTCGCGGTGGATGCACCGCATATAACTTTGAACCACGGGGCTTCTATTTGGCAAGATCCACTGATGCTTGCTCAGGTACGGTAATTGCGAATGGCGCAGACGACCACCAGCTCGCAATAGCTCACCATCAAAAAAGGGGTTCAAGGATTTAAGCTTCTTGGAGGACTCACCTGATTTCATTCTCACGATCTCTTCTGCAAACTCTTGACGCTGTACCACAAATACTATTACCTTCATTGCATCTTGCATCTCAGGTATAATTGGAAATGTCGATAGCACACGCTTCTCCTTAATTCTTTCTTTCTTGTAAACACAGGTAACAGTTCAAGTTCCACTGTGGTACTGACGAAAACCGTGGTCTTGAGTTCGGGAATATCTTCATCTGGCAACGGTTCAGGAACATCCATTTGGCATTCTTCACTTCTCAAAAACATTGGTCCGTTCCACCACAGATCACTTGTGGCCAAAATTTCGGCAGAAAGCCCACGGGACACTATATCAGCAGGATTTTCTGCAGTGTTCACATACTTCCACGAAAAATAATTTCCGCTAGAAGTAATCTCACCAACTCTATTTCTTACAAACACTTCCAGCTGTTCGAGATTTTTCTTCAGCCAGGCTAACACGATTTGGCTGTCTAAACTCAACACTATTTTCCGGAAGGGTAGTTTCAAAGTTTCCAACACTTTCTTCACTAGACGATGCAACAACACAGCTGCCAAGAGTTCTTTTCGCGGAACCGTCAGTACTGGCTTCGGCACTATCTTCAACTTTGCAGTCAAAATCTTCACCTCATGGGACTTTCCAAGAACAATTGATCTTATGTAAACGCATGCTCCGTAAGCTTCCAAGGACGCATCTCCGAACCCATTGATCTCAAAGGCAGTAGCATCAGATGACACCACTCGACAAGGGATTCGGATCTTCTTCACACCACTTAAGCACTTCAAGAAGTATTCCCAATTTTTAACCAATTCACTGTTTAATTCTTCGTCCCAATCGATCTTCTCACTCCAAACGTTCTTCAACAGCATCTTCCCAACGACAATCACCGGTGCAGCTAACCCCAGAGGGTCGAACATACTTGCAACTAACGACAGTACTTGGCGCTTCGTCGGCTTTGTTATCTCAGGAAATGGCTTTGCAACGAAGATCAGTTCATCCGAGGACGGGTTCCACAGCAGACCAAGTGTTTTGATCACTTCGTTCACTCCAGTTCCTTTTAATGTTCACCAATTCTTCACGATCAACTTCTGGTATATGCTCGACTAGATCTGGACAGTTTGAAGCCCACTTGTGCAAATGAAATCCACCTGCCTCCAAGAGATGGATGAGCTGCGACTGTGC